TCTGGCAAAGACTTTGGAGCCCTGGTTCCGCTCGATCGCTTCTTTAATACGAGCAGTATTAAAGTTGCGTAAGTCTCGCCGCATGCATTTGGAGATCTGTCTGTTCAGTTGCCTGTATGCTGTCAAATCTGTTGACGATTGCAGCCTCATCTCCCGTCTAACAGCCATGAGATTAAGAGTGTGATCGGAGAGTTTTTGTGTTCTTCTGCGGCGGGTCTTGCAGAACTTAGCTCCGACCGCATGGACAGTTTCCACGAGCTTGTCATTCATATCGTCCACTGCATTGCAATCTTGTAGGCACTGAAAGCGGTTGTGTAACTCGAGCTGAAAGTTTTCGGGATTTTGGATTAGAGCACGAGGGGGACGGAGCGTTGACTTCATTAGACGAGACCTCTCCAACTTAACGTTTAGGTTCAGTGTGCCTCTAACCATTCGGTGATCGCTGCCAGTTTTTACCCTTGCGATCACTGAGACATTAATGAACAGTTGGCGTCTGGTCGTCATAATGAAGTCAATCTCATTTTTTTGTCGAACCGTCGGGGCTCGACCAGGTCCACTTCCTGTGGGGCCGCTTCTGGAAGAAAGAGTTCATCATAAAGAGTCCCTTTTTCTCCATAAAGTCGGCCAGCTTCTGGCCCCTTCGGTTCCGTTGCCCTACTCCAAATTTCCCTAACTTCAGCTCACCGTTTTCTCTTGTGCCTAGTTTTGCGTTGAAGTCTCCCATCAACACCGTGTAGTGGGTTTTGGAGGAATGCATGGCTTTGGAAATATCCTCATACATTTCCTCCACCTCCTCATCGGAATGTGCCGAGGTTGGTGCGTAAACCTGTATGACCTTCAGCGAATGCCGTTTGGTGATTCTGAGTATCAGGTACGCGACCCTCGTCGACACACTCCCAATCTTTACAACGTTGTTGACGAGAGACTTGTGGACGATAAATCCGACACCTCCTTGGGACAGATGTTCGCCCTCCCGGTGATAGAACAAGTTGCCGGATTCGAGAATCACCGTGTCCTCCCCCTCTCTTCGGACCTTGGATAATCCTATAATACTCCAGCGCAACTTGTCTATCTCTTCTTCCAGCTCCAGGATCTTCTCGTCAGTCCTCAGTGTGCGTGCGTTAAATGTTGCCAGGTCGAGTCGTCGTAGGTGGCAACCGAACCTCCACCGAAGATTCTTAGCACCCCCTGCCCCGCCGTTACCATGGTCGCCACCGTAGCCAGGAATAGCGGGGCCGCCGGGGACTGGGGGCCGTCTATTTGTGTAATTGTTCATGGCCATAGTTGCCACGCTTGGCGAGCGGGTTGGCAACCGCAGTTTTTTTTTGTCGTGCAGTTGCTATTATCAGGAAGATGTTGCTGCCCATCTCCAGCCTGTCTCCCTCTGTCGCCTTTTACGACACCCACGGGAAGATATGGGGTAGTGGATATTCTTAACCGCCACTACACGGCATTCAATTTGGGATAATTTCAAATAAAAGTACAAGCCTTATTTACTCGTGTTTTCAAAAACTGCAATAACGATATATCATTATTTATATATTTAAGTTCGAAATTTGGCTATTCTGAAAAATAACCAGCCCTGTATATTCGGGGCCTTTAGTTTGTTCCACGATAACCGTCCCTGGTTCAAATTCTGGGTTCATCCAAAATCAGTTACTAAATTCTTCTGTAAAGAAATTCTCAGTAACTGCCCAATGTCAGGGAATTGGTGGCGTTTCACCAACGAGTCTCTCAATGCACGTAAAGCCGTTGTTCGTGCTTCTCATCTATCTTCGGTCCTGTCGTCTTACCGTCCCATCGGACTATGAGAATTACTCGGGCACTAACCTGCAATGCTAGTCAGCGCTGAAACTGACTGCCGTGAACAGAATTCGGTCTGGAGCACATTATTCCATTCCGAGACAACAGCTAATAATTATAATTTAGATTTCATTTTTGGAGTCGCACGTCGATGTTATAAGTGTTATGAACCATTGCAAATCAAATTTTAACCAAATTTAGTTCAAGCCAACAAAAGAAGGATTAATCGTTGCGTATAATATCGATGCATATACCTAGCCAAAACCGTGCTCAACTAAGAACAAGCAGCAAGCACTCACGTACACATAATGTATCTAACTAAAATCACTTGCAACTAGCATCAACAACATGGTTTTAGATACGTATGTGTGTAATCAGTGATACTTTTACGTGGTAATAAAAAAATGAGAGAAGTGATGTGTGTTGCATTGCATCTCATGAAGCTGAAGCTACGTTTAACTTTATTTGTCGGTCTGAAAAATTTAGATAATGATCACAAATAGTAGGCTTCTTAAATAATAGTAAGGAAATAGAATAGAGCTTTCAACTCGTAACTGAATTGAAAAATTGTGTACGACTAATTTGTCACAGAGTACGTAATAAAGCGGAACCACTTTGTTTATTCACTAAGAGTGTAATAGTAAGATTGGATTAAATTTAAGTATTCGTCATGTGTGCAGGGTTTACTTTATTTTCATGAATTTAACAGTTACTTCTTAATCGTCATATTCATTATCACCAGTTCGAAAAAGTCTTTTCTTTTATAGAATAAAAGTAACAAACGGGCACTCAGTCCACCTGATGGCAAGTGGATATTGTGGTCCTCATACATCTTCATCTATCCTCTATTAAGAAACAAAATGCTAATGTGTTGTCATCCGTGAGGACTAAGATGTAATGCCTCGTTTTCAGTAAAAACAGTCTGCGGTTCTCTACACTCACCATACAAAACACAGCAGCGTGAAGCTGCTATTTCACGTTGGAATTCTATTAGAGCGTGGTACTTCCCCGTTCGAGTCGACCCATTCGTGCCACAACCATAGCATAGCTACCACGTATAAATAAAAATAATATTTATAAGTATACTGCTAGAGTAGATATGTCACATGTGGCAAGTAGGAAAGGGATTGTGCGCCTACAGTATTTTATTAAATAATGCAACGTTATTAAAGCTTCAATTTGGCTCTTTTTCATCTATATCAATCCATAATATTCCATGACTGGACAGTTAAGACCTAAATTAATAGCGCTATCATATGGGAGAAGCCACTATCACCTGGAATACAGTTTTTTTTAGTTTGGGAGTCTATTAAATATTAATTGATGAGAAAGGTAATCGAGTGACACTACGTATCGGTATACGTACTAGATGAAGCGTCGACCTGGTAAGACATGCAGAAAGTTGTTAGATGTAGGTTTACGTTCAGAAGTGGACTTGTGAAGAATGTTGATGACGATGATGCTGAAAGGTTAACTAAATATATATAAAAAATACAGTCGCCCTTTTTCCGGCTGCGGGATCTTAAAAGACCTTTTTTAATGTTAAAATATACTGGTACATTAAATCTTGCTACTAAATACATAAATATTAAGATTATATATTACTGAATTATCACACAGACTTCCGAAAAATCCTGCACAGATAACAAATATTAAAAAAAGTTTGTTAACAAATAAATATGATACAGCTGAGTTAGTTTGAGCTACGTCACGCTACGTCGCCATTGTAAACGCGTCGAGCGTCGTGTTCTCAGAACGTCAAGCAATTAATAACAATTATTTTGACAGATTTAGGCTTCGCGAGTTAAAAGCGAACACCGGTTCTCGTCTCGATTGTAATGACTCGAGTAATACAATTGAATTACTGGATGTAAGGAGATCGTGTAGCGGGGATGCTGTTTGATATCGTAGTACCTTTTAAATATAAATAATGATTTACTTGTAATACTTACATATATTTGTGGCGGTGTCTCACCCCCGTGCCTCGGAAAGCACGTAAAGCCGTTGGTCCTGCGCCTGATCTCTCTCCGGAAGTGTCGGTTTACCGTCTCATCGAATTATGAGAGTGAGGCAATAGAGAGTGCACCTGTGCTTGCGCATACACTTGAGCACTATAATCCTGTCCTGCGCCGTTTGCTAGCCTCCGTTGAGGCAGGCCGCCGTGGCCAAAATTCGGTCTGGATTATTATTATTATTACATATATATGTGCCGTGTAGTGGCGGCGTAGGAGAATGCACACCACTTGTCTTCTGGATGGAGTCGTAAGAGGCAACAGAAATAAATAAAATTAGGATCTGGCCAGCAGCATTGTTGGTAACCACTCGAAACGACAAATAAACTGCGGGTTTTTTATCGTAGCCAAGCATGGCAACTATGCCGAAATCCTCTCCATTCACAAGGCCTGAATGAAGGCCTGTTTCAGCAGTGCACTTTTGACAGGCTGCAATAATGATGTTGAATAAGATTTGTTAAGCCCTGATAGGTCAGAGGCATAGATATAACCACAAGGTCCTTGGTCAGAGGCTATACGCTGGCTGTATATTGCGTTGTATGTGACCAACTCTTGTATGGGCACGAGTTTGATCCCTGTATTTTTTTTGTTTTTTGTTTTTGTGCATGCTGTGACTACGCATGCTTCGAAGGTGAAGGACATTAAACATGGATGCATAAAAACCTCGCATGTTCGGGCTAGAAATTCACAAGGGCTCAACGACTGTGCTGGGAAAAAATTCCTCCGCTTCCAGGCAAGGCGTGCAATGGAGCAGCATGGCAAACTAACTGTTCTAACATCTCAAAAATTAGAAAAAAACCTGCAAGAGTTTCGTTTTTCGATTTAATGAAGAAATGTCATAAGTGGTAGAGCCATTCTGCAGTTATATTAGTAGTATAGTTGTAGCACGAATGAGCCGGCTCGACCGGGGAAGGACCACGCTCTCACAGAATACCAGCGTAAAAAAGCAGCTTAATACTGCTGTGTTTCGTGTGGTGAGTGTGGAGAACCGGAGACCCTTTTTATTGGAAATGAGGCATTCCATCTTAGTCCTCACGGGTGACAACGCATCTGAATTTTGATTTGTGATCGAGGATAGATGTAGATGTCTATGGACTGCAGCAACCACTTAACATCAGGTGGACTGTGTGCTCGTTTGTCACCCTATCGTATAAAAAATATATATCTTTAATCTTTCCTTTCTAGGCGATATCTCCATGCTTGAAGCAGATATAGTCATAGGCCATGTGATCGGTAAGGATGGTCCTCCGATACCAATCATGGCGCACCCACCAGCCACAACCTCCGATATCTCACTTGGCGACTTTCTGACCGCTGTATTGCAGAGCAACAATGGCAACCCTAAACAGAAAGGTGTAAAGTTGGACTTCAAGAGCATTGAGGCGTTTGAAAAGTCGCAGGAGCAGATCGCACAGTTTAGTAAACCTGAGGTGAGGAGTTATTCTCTCTGTATGTGGTGTATTTTTTATTGCGTAAGACCATTGGACTAGGGATGCGTCGATACGATTTTGTCAATACGATACCGATATATTTAAAAAATATCGCCTATACCGATACGGAAATGCTTAGTGCACTCGTATTTGAATAAAGATAAAATAAAGCTCAAGATAAATACAATACACTTAATTATATTTTAATTCATATAAATATAGTCTTAGAATGAGATTATTAGTTATTAAAATTAATAGTTAATTTTAAAAGTTTTTGTAATTAAAATTAACTTTATTAAGATATTTATTTAAAAATAAAGTTTTCTCAATTTTAACTTTTAAAAATTAAAACTTTATTTCCCTGTCTGAACTTCTTTGGAAACTTGAGTACCTACGTCCTACGGTACCTACGTACCGGACGTCATTTCGCTACAAAACAAGCAGATATGCGTTTCTCGTTACTTTAGAAGATCTTCTGTTTGAAAGGTATCGTTGTATTGGCAGTAAAAATATCGTCAATGCTAAATTATCGGCAAATCTAAAGTATCTCCGATATATCGGTATCAGATGCATCCCTACTTTAGAAACCAACAGCCAATTCCAAACAAAACCAGTTTGTGGTTTAACATCTTTCCTTGTGAACGAAAAGGTAAACCTCTACTTTTCCATATATATCCCTTCTCTTATTATCCTCTACATCTCCTTTTGACTGCCTCTTTGGAGTGGTCGTAAGCGTGACTGTTAATTTTCTGGTCCCGGGTTCAAATCCCGAGTCGGGCCAGTAACAATTATTTAGTTTTTCTCACAAGAAATTCTTACTAGCAGACCGGATTCAGAAGGTTAGAGGTGTTTTAACTCTGTGCCTTGTAAAGCTCGTAAAGCCTGCTTCGGTCGTGTCGGATTACTGTCTATTTAGATTATACGACTGAGGAAACAGAGAGCGCACTTGTGATTGCACATACATTCGCGCACTATAATCATCTCTTGCCGTCTTGCGCAGATGGCCAGTCTACGTTGGGATTGACCACCGTGACCGATATTCGATCTGGATAACATTATTATCTAAATTATTATCCTCTACGATTAGCTCTCCCAATGTAATTAAACAAGTTCGTCTATATGTCTTCAATTAGTACTGCCATCTTTATTCTTTATCCACATATATTATGTATGTATATGTGTTAATGATATATTGTGTAATTTATTAGCCTTATATAATATTTGTTATATTCAATTATGTTTATTATATTTAATTATTTAAGTCATCTATAACTATGATAGTTATACGTGGTAGAGCCATGCTACAGCTATAATAGGTTATAGTTATAAAGGTGAGTGGGCTCGCTGAACGCTGCTATGTTCCGTATGGTGAGTGTAGAGGACCGGAGACACCTTTGTCTGGAAACGTGTCATTTCATCTTAATTCTCACTGGTGACAACATATCTGCATTTTGATTCGTAGTTGAGGATAGATGTAGATGTCTATGGATCACAGCAACTACTTACCATAAGGTGGACTGTGTGCTCATTGGTCACCCTTATCCTAAAAATAAAAGAAACTGGCACAAATTTTTCACTTCGCCACGTTAGAACAATAAAAGGTTTAAATAAAAAAAAATGGTTACTTCATAATTAAAAACAAATTTCATTATAATGAAATTTGTCTCAGGAAGGACATATCGTTACACATAATTCACACGCTTCGTCATCTCTGAATTAACTTGTCTGTCACACCCAGATACCAAATTTACAGTTAATAGTTTAACTAAATTGAGCTCTAATCACAAACTACCAAAGCGTAAAATAAGCTGGCAACACGGGACGCCGCCATCATTAAGCAGACAACATCCATACCATACACCGCCATAAGGACTACATTTACTTAACATATTTCAGTGTAGTGCAGGAGCTGTCGTTTAGAATAGCATCTAATAATTTTTAATTGCTTAAATGTACCCAAAGCAATTATTGTTTAACGAGCGTAGTTCAAAGAGTCCAGAATTTTCATAGTTGTGATAGCGTGTTTTAGATTGAATAAAAATAAATGAATGAGGGATTGTAAACCTCCGCCCACCAGATGTCGCTAGTTGTCACTGAATTGAAGTATTTTGTTATACGTAGTTATTTGATTGAGAAGTTAGTTTTTAATAAAAGTTTATCAGTTTTTATTGTATTATATTAATACACAAACTAATTCCACAGTGGTTTGTTTTGAAGTTTCAGGGTTATGTAATTAAATTATTTTATTATGCGCTTTATGGTTAATTGCAAAACAATAAAAAAAATATGAGACATATAGGATCGATTCACTGGCGCTACGTTGGGATGTGCGCACACACGCAGTGCCTTTTACTAGGAGTTTTCTTCCTCGTACAACTTCTCTGTGGAATTGTTTACCACCGGCGATTTTTCCGGACCGATACGACCTGGGGACCTTCAAGAAAAGAGCTTACTTCTTTTGCCGACATGCAAAAAATAGAGAAAAAAATTTGTCTTTTTTTTAAATTTTTCTACTTTTATGAATTTTTTTTTTATAGAAGAGGGGGCAAACGAGCATGCGGCTCGCCTGATGTTAAGTGACTACCGCCGCCCATGATCAACCGCAACACCAGGGGAATTGCAGGTGCGTTGCCGGCCCTTTAGAAAGGAGTAAGCTCTTTTCTTGAAGGTCCCCAGGTCGTATCGGTCCGGAAAAATCGCCGGTGGTAAACTATTCCACAGAAAGGTTGTAACGCGGAAGAAAACTCCTTTTGAAACGTACAGTGGTGGACCGCCAAGCATTCAGATGGTGTGGATGGTATCGGGACGTTTGCCGCGTAGTGCGTTCACGAAATTTGGCGGCTGGGATTAATCCGAACAGTTCCTCAGAGCACTCTCCATGGTATATGCGAAAGAAAATGCAAAGAGATGCAACATCTCTTCGCAATGCCAGTGAATCGAGCCGATCGGAAAGCACTCGGTCGTCGACGATTCGAGCCGCTCTGCGCTGGATGCGGTCAGGTGGAAGGAGCTGGTACTGGGGAGCCCCTGCCCAGAGATAGGAACAGTATTCCATGTGCGACCGAACCTGCGCCCTGTAAAGTTGCAGGCGGTGTGCCGGCATGAAATACTGTCCCGCTCTGCTGAGCACGCCAAGCTTTTTAGAGGCCAATTTGGCCTTCCCTTCCAAGTGACCACGAAACTGCACGTCACTCGATATGTCGACGCCGAGGATTCCAATACTGGCTGAGGCAACAAGGGGAGTGCCTTGAAACTGAGGGGATACGACAAAGGGGTTCTTTTTAGCGGTTAACGCGCAAACTTGTGTCTTCTGGGGGTTAAACTGGACTAGATTTAGTCGCCCCCTCCGAGACTGTTACAAAGAGACTTAGAAAATCTTTGGGTTTGCAACATATTTATATGCAGAAGAAACAGCGTTGGCGATAGCATGCAGCCCTGTGGACCACCAGCATTAATAGGCTTACAATCGGAGCTTGCACCGTCAACAACGACCTTGATGCTCCGATTTGCAAGAAAGCTGGTGATCCAATCGCACAATTTCTCGGGAAGCCCGTAGGAAGGGAGCTTCGAAAGAAGCGCTTTGTGCCAAACCCGATCGAAGGCCTTCGCAATGTCCAAACTAAAGGCCAATGCCCCCCCCCCCCTTGGACTCTGGTGAGTTAGGTAGACCAGAAGATCACCAGCTGGACGACCACGGCGAAAACCGTATTGGCGGTCACTAATCAGCTGGTGATCCTCAAGGTACCTCATGAGCTGGCAGTTTACAATGGACTCCATTGTTTTGGAGAACAAGGAGGTGATGGCGATAGGCCGGTAGTTGGACGGGTCTGAGCGGTCGCCTTTTTTAGGGATCGGTTGGACGAAAGCCGTCTTCCATGATTTTGGGACTACGCCTAGGGAGTAGGAGTACCGGAAAAGACGCGTTAAAACCGGTAAATATCCGTAGTTTGGTTTATTCATTTCTTATTTAATTAATATAAAATATAATTAATATTAATATCACAGAAAAAGAAACTTTAACAGCTTTTAAATTTGCCTAACAAATTAATTTCCCCGCTATGAAATCCATCAAATACACAACCTCACTCCAAAATGGTGTCACCCTGGTAGCAAAAAAGTCATCTTGCCATATTTACCACGTTAGGCAGGTGGGTCAGCAACCGCAGTTTTTTTATTACTTTCAGTTGTTTTCAGGAAGGTGCTGCTGCCCATCCCCTGTTTTAATTTTCCCCTGTCGCCTCGTACACCCACGGGACGATATGGGGCAGTGGATATTCTTACGTCGACAATACACCATTTACATTACAATATAATACATTTTCGTTAGTGCTCTTATAATCTATATGTGAGGTTATTGTTTATGCTTTTTATCTATGGAGAAGCTAATGCAACAACGCATCTGCATTTTGATTCTTATTCCAGGTTAAATGTAGATGTCTATGAGCCACAGCATCCACTTCCCATTAGGTGGACTGTGTGCTCATTTGTAACCCTTATTCAATAAAAAAAATTAATTCCTCGGCGTACTCTTCGAAATTCGTTTAGAATACCGATAGGCTGGCTACTCTGCCCTGAGCTCAAGGCTGGCAAGATTGGTTAAAACCAAATCAAGGTAACCAAAAATCAATTCCGTATTTAATTATCATGAAACTGTAGGTAACGTTCCCGTTATGGCTCAACGCTGACATCCTTCCGGGGCCGGTGAACGCGACATCAATCCCCGTGGACCCACTGAAGTTCATTGCTCTGGGGGCGAAGCACCCGCGCGCAGTGCTCTCCTTGGGCTGGACAACCAACTACGGCGGGAACATCACCTTGGGCGAGTACAGCCGGGAGCAGATCGGAACGATGCTTCGACTCGTGAACGAACGAGTCAATCAGACAGTCACTTTTCCTGTAAGTAATGTTTCAACACACGGTACCCCCCCCCCCACATTAGGATTTAGCTAGGGCCACGCTGCAGCTATATTATGGTTGTAGTACGAATGGGTCGGCTCAACCGGGGCAGGACCATGCTATCGTAGAATATCAGCGTAAAATAGCAGCTTAATCCTGCTGTATTTCGTATGGTGAGTGTAGAGATCTGGAGACTCTTTTTTACTGTAAATAAGGCATTCCATCTTGGTACTCAGGGATGACAACGCATCATCGTTTTGATTCTTAATCGAGGTTCAATGTAGATGTCTATGGGCCACAGCATCCACTTACCATCAGGTGGACTGTGTGATCGTTTGTCATCCAGTTTGACGTTTAGTAGGCTACTACTACTTTGCTTAAGTGCTGTACATTGACTACAGTAATCACTTATCATCAGGTACACTGTTAGCTCCAGAGACGGATTAAATGTCGACAGCGCCCTGATCTAGCACCTCATCGGCGCCCCTCTGGTGGCCATATTTTATAAAATTATAACTACTTAATTTGCAAATAAACTCTATGTTATAATTTTTAATTAGTTTGGTTAGTTTGAAAATAAACTGTATGCTATAACTATTTATTTATTTATTTATGCTTTATTTGCACACCGAGTACAAAAAGGCGAACTTAATGCAACAAGGCATTCTCTACCAGTCTACCTCCAGGTTAAGCATTGAAGATATTGTGGGTGCAAAGTGCAAATGAGTTAAAACATCTTTAAGTAGACATACACATTACATATTGCATTACATGTTATAAACATAGTTATACATATATATTATTATATGGATATACATACAATATATATAGATATATACATATATATGTTTAATGCTGCCCTAATATGCTATATATATATATATATATTATATATATATATATATATATATATATATATATATAAGTACATACATAATTAAATATAGCTGCTGTGAATAAAGGGAACAGTTAGAATTTAAGAATATAAAAAATGTTAATCGACCAACTACTCCTGCAACGCCAGAAAATGATTCCATAGCAAGCGTTTAAACGATGCCTTGCTCGTGGCTCCACGTACACTGCTCGGTAGACTATTAAAGTTTAGTTTCAAAATAATAAGGACTGGTAATAGGTGGACATTAACGATTAACGGTGATAAGAGAGTAAGGGCGATGAACGAATATAGAATGGAATCATTTTTATTCAATATAGATTATATGTAATAGGTACTTATTGAAAGTCTTTTTTACTTTAACCTCTGATTCGGGAAAAACCTGTCCTGGGAAGAACCAGCTAGAAACCCAGCGGGACTTTTTTTTTAAAAAAAAGCACAATTTACAATATTCATAATATATTTCATATAATTGTTATGAAAAGGTTAAGGAACAGCATGGTAGCGATCACCTCAGTCCCAGGGGTCATGTACCCTTTAGTAGTATAATAACCCTTACTCAACAATTTTTACATCTTTTGATAGATAAGGTTTGCACATTTTCTACGACTTTGTTGTAAAAGCACCTACATTGCCCCATGAAGGAATTACTGACTCTTTGGAGTTCAGCTGTGGAATTTTATACTTAACTAGTATAACTAACTTGTGTGTGTACTTGTTCCTAGTATTTACGGAATGTAAATCACCATTTTTAATAAAATTATTTTTGTTTTTGTGTACAATATTAAATTTTCATAAATATTTTGGGAAGCCAAAATTAATATATTTATTTCTTAACATTTTTCTCTAAGAGATTCTTTCGGACTTAAGTTATAAATTGATCTGAGTATTCAAGTGCGCGTTTTGGAAGCCCTACTTTTTTTTTTTAAGTAGCCGTGCGCCCCTAGGTAATTGGCTAGTTTGCTTTAAGGATAATTCGCCACTGGTTAGCTCGTTTCTTTCTTAAATACTGTAAAATATGCAAGCAATTTTTGGATTTGCGTGTCAATTTATTACTTCATTGCCCCAGAAACAGCTTGGATCGATTCACTCTACTGTTCTCTCCAGGTCCGCGCCGGCTTAGCGTCCAACAGTCAACCGGTACTTCTAGATCTTCTCCGGGAAACTGCATCTTTGAACTCCACGATAACAGTGTGGTCAAGCGAAGGCGACGCTGTTGAAGTGGACCGTCTCCGAGCCTTGATCCTCACCGTTGGACTAGAGAAGACTTACCTGGACATACCGCATGACCTAGCGGCTAAGCTACACCTGCCAACTGATACTAACCTGAATTATTAAATATTAGAATTGTTTTACATTTATTTTATTACATACTAGTATCCTGTCCAGGCTTCGCTCGGTGGTATCTATAAATGTGTCAATATTTAGGTTTCAAATAAGCATCAAAGACAATTAATTTCATCAGTTTTTGATTTTTCAAAAAGCCTCTATTTATTTTAATAAAATGTAGCTTAGGTCAGGGGTGGCGAACCTTTATGTATCAACGTGCCATTTTTCTAATCATCATTTTTCTAAAGAAATGAGGACATGACGTGACATGACCTAAAATAATTATGACTTCGTGAATTTCGGAAAATAATAATACTAAATATGTACTATCAATTCAAAACTTTTTAATCACTACAAAAAAAAACATTTTGCAAGGTATAATAAATATTGTTTCAGTTATACGCGTAATTCAAATTAAAGTAACATTACTGTAGATTTTGTTGTTGCAGATTAGATGACAAATAACTTATATCATTATCAGTAAACTGTAGTAAATTGTATAAGTAGTAAACTATGTAAAGCTACCATAACTTGAATGGTCTAAGACAATAAAAAACGAGCGCGCTTCTCTCCCGCCGCCGCTGAACCGAACACTCCATACCGCAGGATCACTCGCATTCGTTTTTAGTATAATACTCTCCATAGTGAACTTTGTGATCAGTAGCGTGCCCAACATTGTGTGCCGTGTGTCACTGATGGCACGCGTGCCATTGGTTTGCCATCCCTGGCCTAGATCACTTCTGGTATTGTCTTATATCTGTTCGTGACGTTTCATCGCAATCTGTCCGGCCATACCGAAGACTAGCCCATACAAACAGACAGACAAAATTTAAAAAGGTGTAATTTATGTCGTTAACATACAAATAATCTCCTGAGCTTAAAAAAAGTAAGTTATTTTTATATTACAAACAGACATCTATTTATATGTATATCATTAGAAGAGGGTAGCTGGTAATTTAATGTTAATCCAAATCGATTTGAATGCCCTCGAACACTATAACTACAACTATAACTATAACGAAACTATAACTACATATTTTTACGTGGTAGAGTCATGCTGCTGCTATGTTGTGGTTGCAACACGAATGGGTCAGCTCGACCGGGGTAGGACCACGCTCTCACAGAATATCAGCTTGAAATAGCAGCTTAATACTGCTGTGTTTTGTATGGTGAGTGCAGAGAACCGGAGACCCTTTTTACTTGGAACGAGGCATTCCATCTCAGTCTTCAGGGGTGACAACGCGTCTGCATTTTGATTCTTAATTGAAAATAAATGTAGATGTCTGTGGCCACAGCATCCAAAACTCGATATACCGATGATCTTCTGTCTAGCCGTCACGTCCGTTATAGGCCAGAGTGTGATTTCATCGTCATCATCATCATCGTCACAGCCTATAAAATTCCACTGCTGAACACGGACCTCCCTCGTAGATTGCCTGCCTCATAAAGCGGATTTTTGGAATTTACCGGAGTTTTCTTATTATTTTCAGTTGTTATCAGGAAGATGCTGCTGCCCATCTCCTGCCTGTCTCCCTCTGTCGCCTCTTACGATTCCCACGGGACGATATGGGGTAGTGGATATTCTTATACTGCCACGAGTGTGATTTATTCACTCGTAATCCGCGCGAAGGAGACTTATCGATGATAACCCCTCGTTGATGATCTGATGATGATGATGATGATGATTTAGCCACGTTGACTTTCTACAATCATTAGTGCTAGTGAAAAAGTAAATCAACAAGCTTTAGGACAAGGAATAGTCCACCACATTACCCTAGTCTTCGAATTAAGTTTTTAATTTCTTCAATTTCATCGGTGCCGGCGGGGATCGAATCTGGGTTACTGCATAGTGTGATATTTATGGCAAGAGCTAAGCTCCTGAGCTAACATGGTTTTAAAAATTATTAAAATGAATGGGAATGAATAAAGTTCTTGGTCACGTGTCTCAATTTCATACATTGTCATAGTTTCCTATGAACGTTGACGATTGTAGGAATATAATTTGATTAACACCGCTGTATCATCACTTGACAGCATGTGCCAATCGGCACACGTTTAAGTTGTTGGTGGGTAAAGTAACCTCCCTCTACAACCCCAACGGGAAGGTGCCCGTTTTGCAGGTGGAGTTAAAGGTCCCGGATTAAGGCGCGCCATTTGTTCCCGGTACGCCTTACTTGAGAAGGAAAAGAGGGAGATGAAGTCCTCTCCCGAGGCGGGGCTGCTATGTGGCGGCCGGCGCTGGTGATAACGGTTACCACGTATTCAACGGTGAAAGAAAGAACCGTGAGAAAACCTGCATGTCAGTGAAATAAATAAAATGTTTTGAACACTTCCATACCCTTAATCCCGCTCCGAAGAGACTGTCCGACTGGAAGTAGTAGAGACTGGCCCAGTAAGTACAGGACGTGTAAAGGCATACTACGACGGATAACTTTACTTTACTTTGAAATGAAATGCAGGTTTCCTCGCGATGTTTTTCTTCACGTCCAAACACGTGGTAAATCAGCACTTAAAATTGCAACCGAGAACTTCATTGATGCCGATGGGGATCGAAACCAGATCTCTCGCATGCTGTGAAAGTGCGTTACACGTGGCAGAGCCATGATGTAGCTATATTAGCAGTATAGTTGTAGCACGAATGGGTCGGCTCGACCGGGGAAGGACCACGCTCTCACAGAGTACCAGCGCAAAATAGTAGCTTATTGCTGTTGTATTTCGTATGGTGAGTGTAGAGAATCGGAGACCCTTTTTATTGGAAACGAGGCATTCCATCTTAGTCCTCACAGAAGACAACGCATTTGTATTTTGATTCATAATCGAGGATAGACGTAGATGTCTATAGGCGACAGCAACCATTTACTTCTCTTATAAAAAAGAGAAAAACGTCAAGTACCTACTTAGCCCGAGAGATACCACGACTGCTTCGGAAAAAATCACAAAAAAACATGTTTAAAGTCACTGATTTCTGATTGAGTCTATGAACAATAAGAATCAAACAAGTTCTAAAAAATTGCAGAACATTTGTATAAATTGTATTATCTAATCCTTGATTTTTTATACTATAATCGCTAGGAATGGAACATATGGCAATTATGTATAAACCCTGTTTCTTACTGAGCATATGTTTTATGTTCACCATTACACCCCATCAAAAGTCCACTGTTGAATATATAAATATTTATTTATTTTTATCTATATATTTATTGACAACTTCCAACTATCATCACAGGTGTATTACATAATAAAATAGTGTAGTTACAAACTTAGAAATTAGAATAAACATAATATAGGTATATTATGCACAACTTAAAGATATTTTACAATAAGCGGCCTTTGTGAATTCATTCAGAGTACATTCAAACAAATCAGTCTGTTGTAAAACCACGTTAACTACACGCAGTGCGTCAAAAGCGCATCAAATGCGCATGCTGTAGCTAGTTGATGCGCGCCTGCGGCACCGAGCACCGACAAGACGTCGTCTTACGTACTCGTCAGGGACATAGCTTAACTATCTGTAGAATGGGCTATGCATTTACCACGGATCACTTTTAGTAAGTGCCGTGTTGGCGACGCGCCTATTAGAATATTTCAGTTTATTAAGTCAACCGATGACGAATAACTTCTCAAAGGCATATTCTCCAATAGCAAGGTTCTGATAAGAAAATGCTTAGTTAAATCTTAAAGAAATATCGAATTAATGATATGAAGGTCTTGGGTTCGACTCCCAGGCCGGACTAGTTTATTTGTTTTCCTAAGTAATATCGCTTAATAAATTCATAAGGGATTTAAGATATAAATTATGTTACCGGATTGTTTCCCCGGTTGAAATCATCTTTCCAATGATGTAAATTCAAAGGAATATTAAAGTGAAGTTAGAGATCGGATTTGTTCCCCGGTCGAGATGATCACTCAGATGGAAATTAATCGCATAAGTATTGTCTTATACAAGTTTGATATGTTTTGTACGAAAACAAATGCCTATTTGCCACGATTGATTTATGAGAACATTCACTTATATTGTTATCTGATAAGAAACATGATAACTGATAAGAATCTGATTAGAAATAGTTTCCTACAGTTTGAAAATTGTGTAGAAGCATTTATTCACCCAATATTGTTAAAATTGGTGTATATCAGACTTTCATTTTTTCTGATAGCCGAGAGCCGTGCAAAAGTTAGTTGTTCAAATAGTGTGAGTTCATAGACGCACGCTAGCCACGTACTTAGGAGGCCAAATATGTAAAAATTTAAATATTTGTAATTTCAGCAATTTATGTAAAAATGACTTGTAAAACATTTCAGGTTAATTGTACGTGCTAAAAAGGTGAATTCTGTGTTATTTTTATGTGAAAATTCCTGTGTATAAGTGAAATAATGATAGTTTTGTATAAGAAATTTAAAAGTGTTTTAATAGTGAAATAAATAGAGAAAATGTAAATTAAACTATTGTATTAGTTAACATATGTATAATTTCAAGTGGAAAACATTGTTTTAACTTTCTATGTTAAATATTTAAGAAATTTCGAGTTTGAATTTGTGAGTAAAATAGGCATATTTTGTTAAATAAATAATAGGTTTTTCGTGATATAAAAAATGTAATGTATATCGTAGTGTAGATATTGTTTTGTGCTATCTATACACGTAAATTATGTTGATGTATGACTTATGCAAATAAAGTAATTAAGTAAAACGTGAGAGAGTAATAGAACAAATTCATGTAATTGAGTTGCGCAAGCGCGCGAATGGCGCGGCTCACTTTCGCGTATAGCTCTGGGGTAGCTTAGTAAATGAGTTTTATTGCAATTCGTTCGGGAATCCTTCGGGAATCGTTCGGGAAAAAAGTTCGAGAAAAGTGAAAAACCAGCAGTCAATAAGAAGAGTATAGGGAAGTGGTAGGGAAAAGTGGTTACTCTTTCACGGAACGGTTTGAAGATAATTGCTGTTTTATTCCCAAGTAATTCATCCCTCAAGATTATACAGTCCACATCGAAGAATTAAGGCGTTGGGAC